CTGTAGGAGAGGATGACTCCATTGGGGAATAAACTTGATGAAGAGATTACTCTGCGGGGAATTACTCTGTGGGGGAGAGAGGCTTCGCTGAGATTTTAATGATAACTCCGCTGGGGACTCTGTTGATAAGCTCTGTTGGGGATTTTGATGATGAATTCCGCTGGGGATAGAAAGAACTTCGCTGGGGATGATCTTTCATTTGCAACTTGCTGAGGATAACCCAGTTAGACTCTTGTGGGGATAACCTCTGAATTTGGCTGAGGAGATGCATTTGCGCTCTGCAGGGGATAAGCAACCAGAGTCTACTAGGGAGGATGATTCAACTCTGGTGGGGAAGCTTTTTAGACTGCGCTAGAGAAATGGCTCCACTGGGGGTATCTTGTATTTCGCCGGGGAACTTTCTTATACTCTGTCGAGGAATATTAAGACTGCCGGGGATGCTTGCTGAGGAATATCTTTATACTCCGCTGGGGAATATTAAGACTTGCTGGGGATACCCGACCTTTTTAGGGTTGATGGTAGACCAACTCTGCTTGAGGAGAGTATTGCTGATTCGTCCATGGTTACAGGTCTCAGTGGGGAGAGCTTCCATTACTGTCTTACTCTGCGGGGAGTGAAGGTATCTCGGACATACTCTTCAACTGAATCCACCTTGTACCTGGAGGACAGCGCAGCTTGTATAGTTCGGACAATTCTTATTGCCCCAGCTTTTGTGGGAGAAGGTACCTGTGAAGGTGCTTGATAACTGCCGATTGACAAATCTTCTTCAGGTAGGCAAGTGACGAGATGACGGGACATAGTCGTACGCTTTTGATCCCTAACTTTTGCCTGGACTGCCCTTTCGGGTTTTCAGTCCACCGGGATACCCATTTTTTCCCAAGCCGCCTCTTCAGGTTTTCGACTTGCCGGGTGTACATATTTTTCATTTTCATCCCTCATTTTTGCCCAAACCCTTTTGGTTCGCCGGGAAGCCCTTATTTTTTCCTAGACCAGTCGACCTAGCGGGTCCTTGATTACGCGTAGTACTTTTTTTTACTATGTCCATGTTCTCAGAGCGCAGGGAGTTGTCACTGTCAGTAGTGTTCTGTCGCCATACTACTAGAAGATGTCTGATTATGCAATATTCGTTGCTGGAATTCATGTCCAATGCCCCAAGTGACTCAGGCGGAGATTTGCCCATAGCTATTTGGCATCTTGAGAGATTCCTTGAATCTTGACTTGACTGCCCCAGATGATGGACAATGCTCATGTCGTGCCCCTGGATTGGAAGTGTTTTTCCACTTGATGTGATCCTTTTTGTTGAGAAGGTTTTTGTTCACTAGATATTTGTCGTGCAAATTTCTCTGCTGTTCGAACAAATAGTCATATGCAAACAATGTTATTTTAAGAATGCAAAGCTTATGTCTGTCTTGAAGTTTTTTTTTTTTTTGAAAATACAGTTTTCAATAGAACAAGTGAATTTTTGTAAAAGGTGATGTCAACTCCGGATTTTACAGTAAGCCCTACAAGAGTCAGGATACCTTTTGTAACAGTATGCTTTCGAACTAACCCATGCTTCAGCTAGGACTTTTTAAGGGTTATAACGTGGCCTGGTTCACAGTTTAAGAAACAAAGAATTAAAGGCTCAAAGTATATTTGTACCCACCCGTTCTTCGTGATGTTCTTCAATCCTACACTCAGCTAATCGTGCGTTTAGACCTTGTTTGAGTCTTTGCTCTGATATTCCGGTGATGGTTCGGATACTGATAATTGATTTTGAATAGGCAGTCATTTCTTTTTTTTGTTGAGAGTCTTTAGGACCTCTTTCTTTTTGATTTCATTATCCCTGTTATTTGCCTGAACTATTTCTTTAGTGATTACAGTCAGCGGGATGCCCCAGTTTTGTAAGTCTCCTTCATAGGTTTTGACTTATTGGGCTTTTATTTATGAGAGATAATGACTGCCTGTCTTTATGATTATTCGGAACCATCACTGTCTCTTGTTTCGGAAGGACTTCTTTGATGCCATTCATTGTGCATCTAGATCAACTGAGAGAACTACCCTGCCCCAGGTTATAATTAAGGGTTTTAATTTTTGTGAAAAGAAAAACTCCAACTTCTTTGGCTCAAAGGAGTTGACTAGGGATTATCTTCCTTATAACTCCACTGTTTAGGATTTGAAACAATGCTTGTACCTCATCAGCGGGGTCTGTTCAAAAGCATACTGTAAAGATCGTGGTATCGTTTTCGTCATCCTCCCTCAAAAGGCTTAGAATTTTTTAATCGAGAGTTGAACATCACAAAAAATGAAAGCAATTTGAATATAGTGGATACGAATGGATTGATTCAAAACAGACATATGCGATGCATTGATGAAATAAAAAGTTTGCCATGACAATAATTGTTTGAATCAGCAAAGAAAAATACAACTTCAGAATTCAAATGAACAAAAGTCTTTTAGTTGAACTAGTCATCTCAGATGGAGAATTCTCAGCGGAAGATTTTCATCTCGCCATCCGGCATGAACTCCAACACCCTTCCGTCGATCAAGTCTTGGATCTTGTTCTTCAGAGTCCAACAGTTGTCGGTGTCATGTCCCGGACCGTCAGAGTGGTATGCACACCTTTCATAGGGATGATAGGTAGGAGCAGAGGTGTTGGGATTCCGGGGAGGATCCTTTAAAGCAATCAGATTGACCTCCAACAAGCGTTTCAGTGTGAGATATGATGGTATATCAGTCTCCGAGAAATGTCTTCCAGGCGTATTTCGCTTATGCCGATTACCCTGTTGATGCTGGCGAGGTTGATGCTGGGCTTGTGACCCTGAAGCGAGTTGAAGAGCTTTTCCCTTGTCTTCTTGCCCCAAAGGTGGTTGAATGATGGCTTGATCTTCAACCTGAGTTGTCTGCCTCACTTGGTTATTTTGAAGCATCTTATTGACGAGGACCCTGAGCTCTTCTTGTCTTTGAGCTAAGTCTTGAATGAGAGTCATCTGGCCCGCCATCTGTCCCATCATCTGGATCTTCATTGTTGTCAACTCAATTTGTAGCCCTTCCAACTGATCATTCCTGACGCCTCCTGGATTCCCTAGGACCAAGCCCCTTGTGAGGAGAGATTTTATTTCTTCTTGCCCCTGGGATAGGTTTAAGAACATTTCTTGAAGTTAGGCGTTTTGGGCCCTGAGATCTTGGTTGTCTTGTTGGAAAGCCATTGCTGAAATAAACAGCGAGAACGTGAGAGACCTGTAAAGGGTGACCTGTGATGCAATGATATGTATGATATATGTATGCAATGTTTTCAAGGCTCTCGCGGGGTAAACAGAGGAACTTGTTAGAATTTGAATTTTGCAGCTTGATTGAAGGAACTTCCTGTTATTAAGAGTCCTTCTTCAAGAGTCAGGCTCACCATATCGAGTGGGTCATAGCCCCTGACTCAAGTTATCATGTTTTGATCTCCGAACAACCTTGGCTAGAGGAAAATAAATCCCCTTTGCCCCTTGCTAGACATTTGGTTCATCATGACCTGCATCACAAACCTTTGAGATCCTTGAAATGGGTTAGTCCTTATGCAGGATGCATGCAATGGTATGATGTTATGATGTTATGATAAAGGCACACCACAAGTATTCACAAAAGGCAAACATGGTAAAGGCACACAAGTCACACAAGAGAGCCCTTAGATTTCAGGCCAGCATGAAGTTTAGGTACTACCCTCTTTCAGTTTCAGTTGGTTAAGACCTGTCCTAAAAATAGTAACCGGGTTCTAGAGGATCTCAATATCACTGACTACCCTCGATCGGTCATAACTCCAGCTTAGCAACCTTTTCTTGCGGCCGGAACCATCGCGAGAGTTTAGCCTCAATGAGTGTAGCATACTGCTACTGTTCTATGGCCAAGTTGGTCAATTTAAGGTGCTAAGGTCAGTTGGTGCTTAATGACTCCTCAGAAGACCCATATTCTCCTCGTTCCAACACAAGGAATATCGGTACAGACCAAGGTGTCACACCAACGTAGCTACTGCTTCACCCGTGTCGGTCTACGCCGGATAGGGATGGCAAGCAGACCCAAACCCGCGGGCCCCACCCGCACCTGCACCCGAGTCAACGGGTGAAACCCGAATTGACTGGGTTTGGGTTCGGGTTCGGGTGCCACCCGATATTTTGGGTGTGGGTTTGGGATAGCTTAAACCCGCACCCGAAACCCGAAACCACACCCGCTTATATGTTAAATTACAAAACTATCCCTCTTCTCGCCATTCTCCAAAGGTACATGAATCACTCATCCATAGCCGGAATTGGTTTAAGAGTTCTCATTGATAAATCATTCATAACCTGTGAAAAGCAGAAAATCTGTATGCATGATTTGTTCAGAGAACTGGGAAAGAGTATTGTTAGAGAAAAATCACCCAAAGAACCAAGAAAGTGGAACTGGTTGTGGGAATACAAGGATGTCCACAGTGTTATCTCAAAAAACATGGTAAAATATTTATGGAGATACAATTACTGCTTGCCATTTTTTCTTTAAGATTAATAAAATTAAAGTCTCTATGATTCTGTAGGCAACAAAAAACCTTGAAGCCATAGTGTTGCAGCGTTGTCCAGAAAACGATGGAGTAATACCAGAGATGACAACATTGAGGGCTGCATTATATATATTTTCAACATTTGGATTAAAAAGAAAAAGTAATAAAAATAATATGAATGAAACGATGCGTTTGGCAAAAGGATAGGGTTCCAAAATCTGTGGCTCTTGAACTCTTCGATCAGGCGATTCCCTCTGCTGTCGTACAACATCACAAGGTATCTTCGTCATCTCAGTGGCGCTCTTCTTCATTTGAAATCAGTATCGTCGCCGTTCGCTTCAGTGGCGAATTCCTTCTCACCAGCTCGCTTCAATTGCAGTTCCGCCATGGTCTCAGCTTCGAGTTTCGCTTCAACATTTGATTTATCGATGATGAGAAACAGGTAACCACTTGCGGTCTTTCGTTCATTCCACTTCTAGTTCTTCATTCGATTTATACAGTGTTGCTGATGTAGAGTGAAAGTACCACATATTCGATCTTGATGTTGAAAAAGGTTCTTGCAATTTGTTGATGTAGATGAAGAATCAATGAAGCGGTGTTGATATGCACCTGAAGTAGAGAGAAAGATGATGGAGAATTGTTGGTTGTGGTAGATACAAAGATGTTGAAGAATTGAAGATTGAGAGTTGATGAATTCGGTTGCAGGATCTGTTAATTGGAGATGACGATTCGTGAAGATGATAAAGTTGTGAGGATGCAGAGACTTTTGAAGGTTGTTGAGGCTTGAAGGTTGGTTGTAGAATGAAGGTTGTTGAGGCTTGAAGGTTGGTTTAGAACAAATGAGACGCCTTAAATTGCTCATGCTATGGAATTTGAATTTCTCAGGAAGTCTCAATTTTCTTTCAAGTGAATTGGGGTATCTTTATTGGGGTAAATACCCTTTCACTTGTTTGCCATCAAGTTTTCAAGCCTATCTTGTTGAACTGATCCTACCTCGTAGCAATATCGTGCAACTATGGAAGGGCACAAAGGTACTATAAACATGGTTACAAGCCTATCTTTTTCTTTTTCTGATGAACACATAAGAAGTGTTTATCTCATTATATATATATTTCTTCTTTCGCTACAATTAGCTAAAGAAACAAATTAAAGTTTTAGTATGATTTTTAATTTGTCTCTTTCTATTTTTAGTTGCTTGCAGGTTCTACCTAATTTGACACATATTGATCTCTCTCACTCGAAAAATCTTATTAAGATGCCAAATTTTAAGGAGATTCCAAATCTCGAGAGCCTAGCTCTTGAAGGATGTATAAAACTAGTGAAGATTGATCCATCCATTGGTACCTTAAGAAGGCTTTCCAGATTAGATTTGAAAAATTGTACAAATCTGGTTAGTATTCCTATCAACATTTTTGGTCTGAGCTCTCTCATATATCTAAAACTCTCAGGATGTCCAAACTTATTTAATAATAAAATGTTAGAAATACAAAGACAAATAGAACAACAGGAGATGCTTGATAATAAGGAAAGTACTACCCAATACCAACAAACATCCTTCATCTACAAATTTCTAATGTCGCACTTTCGATATTTGAGTTTTCGAAAACCCGAAGATTCAGTTGGTTTGTTGTTGCCTTCATTGTCTCGTTTGTCATGTTTGCAATATCTTAACTTGAGTTTCTGCAACCTTTTTCAAATCCCTAATGCAATTGGGTTGTTACATTGCTTAGAAATTCTATACTTAGGGGGGAACAATTTTGTGATACTACCTTCTAACATCAAGGAACTTTCCAAACTTAGAAGATTAAACTTGCAACACTGTAAGCAGCTGAAATATTTGCCTGAGCTCCCATCAAATAATGCCTTGCCAACAAGAAGAACAACATATTTAAGAATTGTCGCTGAATTTAATATTTTTGACTGCCCCAGTTTAATTGATGTGGAATGTTGTTATATAATGGCTTTTTCTTGGATGATACAATTTCTTCAGGTGCCTACTCCATCCATTTTCCTTTTGTCTTTATTTATTTTTATATGATTGAACTAATACATAACTCATATATTTGGTACCAGATGCACATGCAATCCGAGATCCCAATAGAACAGATTACAATTGTTATTCCGAAAACTGAAATTCCAATGTGGCTCGACAAACAAAATGTAGGTAGTTCAATAAGCATGGATCCATCACCCATTATGGATGACAAGAATTGGATAGGTGTTGTTTGTTGCTTAACATTTGTAGCACTTGATAATCCCACTACTTTAAGTAAAGAACAGCCTTCAGCATGGTCGTGGGAACTATTCAATTATTCCCATACGTCTTGAAAAAGATCTGGTCACAGTTGATTTAAATCACTTGTTGCTAATTTTTTTTCAGCAGGGAAGAATTTATTGGTTATTATATGACCTATCTAACAGAGGTATTGCATGATATTAGTTGTATTGAATTGAGAGCTATAGTTAGGCAGCCCCTTGGTTTGCACTTGGAGGCAAAAAATTGTGGTTATCGTTGGATATTTAAGGAAGATCTGGAACAATTAAACTCACAAATATACAATGGAAATTCGTCAGTTCAGCCATATTATTGAGCTGATTCATTAAAAACCTTGAAATTCAAATCAGTTTGTTGTTTTCTATTTTAAAGATGATAATATGTTGATTTTTGTTAGTTCTCTTTTTATGGTAGAGTCAATATTAGTGTACATTGTTATAGTGATAATAATTAACATACTTGATCATTCAATAAGAAAGTTGTAATATATTAGCTTGTTGTTGTTGAAAAGTTGTAATTTGATTGTAGAATTTAATTTTAATTGTAATGTTAAGATGTTGAAGACTATGTTAAGATGATTGTGATTGCATTTTCTTGAAGACAATGTAAAGAGACCTTATTTTAATTGTAATTTTTTTATTATTTTTGGTACGGGTTTGGGTTTGGGTGAAAAAACCCGAACCCGACGGGTGCGGGCGCGGGTGTGATTTTGTCACCCGAATAGCCTTCGGGTTTGGGTTTGGGTGAAAAAACCCGAACCCAACGGGTGCGGGCGCGGGTGTGATTTTGTCACCCGAATATCCTTCGGGTTCGGGTTCGGGTTCGGGTGATGATTTCGGGTGCGGGTGTGGGTAGTGTGAAACCCGCACCCGACCCGACCCGGTGCCATCCCTAACGCCGGACAGGTCCCTCACAGTTTATTGCTACTTCTAAAGGGTATCCCCAGATCCGGGTTAGGATCTATAAAACTCCGATACAAGCCCACAATATTAAAGCATTCAAGGCATACAATTGCAAACATAGTGATCTAATCCTAAGGTACACCTCACTTATATATTCCCCAGCAGAGTCGCCAGTTCTGTGATCGGTGGAAATAGAACTGACTATTTTGAAATGCTGGTTCGCGTTTGCGTTTTGCAAAATGTCGCGGTAAGCAAGAGTCACCACCGTATTTTATTTTCTCCAACAAGGAAAGGACAAAAGCACAGCAAAATTCCTTTTCGAGATGTTTCTCGGGTTCGGGAGGTAGATTATAGAAAGGGAAGGTGTTAGCACCCTTTCTATCCGTGGTTATCCACAGGCTCTTAGGTACTTGCTCACTATGTTTTCAAAAGGTTTTTGCTTTTCTTGTGTTTGTGGGTTTTGAAAAAAGTTTTGTTTTGAAAAACTTCGATTTAACTCTTGTATCTGTCCTCAAGAGTGTATGAAGTGTTTGTTTGAAAACTTTTGTTTGAAAAGTGTAGGTGCAAAAAGTTTTTTTGTTTTGAAAGAGCAAGTATCTAAGAACCTCTACCTACTCAAAAGAAATTAAGTTGTGTAAATGTCCTTTAGACAGTACTATCCCACTATTGAGAAGTAGGTAGCACCGTCGTTGGAGTTTTTCGGGTCAATTCGATTATAGGGACATGTGATTACCAAATCAATAGTAGGATGCCTTAGCGGTAACCCTAATGTCCTAGATCCTTTTTATCCGAGGCAACCGTTTCGAAGCAACTTGGATCTTTAGACAGGAGGGCGACCTCTAAAACACCCTATACTCAATGACCACGTCGAGGCAACCAAGTGAGGCGTACCCTAAGAGTGGCATGTGCGAGTGTGTCAGGATTAAGTTAATATTATCTTTGCACATGTTATGGTGAGCTACGGGTTGATTTTAATTTTCAGATAAGTCTTGTCATGCATAGCCTAGTTAACATACATCTAGCAGTTAATAGTTGCGGAAAGTAAACTAAGCTATTACAAGGCGTCGGGTATTTACATCGCCAAGAACAACCCTTGAAAAGTAAATTGCGGGAAATTAAAGGAAACCGATAAAAGGTCCTAATTAAAGCTATTACATTCCCGGAGCAAATACATAATAATGATAAAAAATTAATAAAACAAACATACGCGCGAGAGAAAATTGAATCGGAGAAAGTCTTAGGGTTTTGACCCTTTTTTGAGAAAGAAAGAAGTTTTTGGTGGTTTATGAATTAAATTAAATTAAATCTAATTAATTAATTAAAAAAAGAAATATTTTTTAATCTTTAATGTCTCAAGGAAGTAAATAAAAAATAGTCAAAAGTTAGTAAAAACCCTAATTCTAATTTATTTTATTTATTGCAAAAAAATATTGAAATTAACCTAATTAAAAAAGACTAAATTAATTTGTTAGTATTTATTTACAAAATAATGAAGGGTGAAATTAATAAATAATAATAATAATAATAATAATAAAAATATTACATTTTTGGTTTTCTGAATTTTATTATGAAAAATAAAGTTAATTTGGTTAATTAAATAATAATAATAATAATAATAATTATTAAAATAGTTAAATGGAAAATATAAAAGAAAAAAAAAAGAAGAATAAACCAGGGGGGTACTGGCCCAATATGGAGGTATGTTTGGAAATTCTCAGGCCCAACAAACTGCAAGCCTCTTTGACTTTTTGGATCACCCACACGTGCATTGACCAGGGAGCATGGTAGTCATCCACTCATGACCACTGGATTTGAGTCTAGGGACATCTAGCGCTTGGGGAGATGAAGTACATGATGGACCATCTTTTGAAACCTACATGTGATCATGTGAAGAAAAATAGAAACAAATATTTTGGGGGACCTGGGATTCGAACCCAGGTCCCAATGGTTCCAAGCCAACGCAACAACCACTACACCACTTGCACGCTTTTAGTATTATAATAACAGGCAATTAATATATTGATAAACCAAACAATATGCTGTACAAAAGAAAAGCGCACGTATTTATTCAAATGGTCCAATGATGTATCAACACATCATCATCTTCTTCCTTCGTTCTGCAAAAACAAACATTAGATAGCGGGGGTTTTTAACCCCCACAAACTACAGTAAGGAAAAATAACGATTAGCACTGTGGTTCACATAAATATTTCGCGAGGGTTCAATCTTGTTCGTCTTGGTTCAACGAATTCAGCCATGTGCCTTAGGAGTCCTAATTTTTCCTGGATTGCAAAGCCCCAATTCAAAGCTTATGAACCCTAAAAATTCAACTATGGCATCTTGTGATTTATGGCGTTTCAGTTCAATTAGGTTATACCATTAGCTTCATATGATTATTAGCAATGCAAAACAATCAAGAAATCATGTTAAATGCTCATGAATTAAGAGTTACGATTATGTATAAGGTGTGCAAACCGTGATTCTGTTCTCAGTGATTTCTTGAGCTTTGAAGCTGGAATTTGATTGTAACACGTTCTGGGAACCTCCTGCAGTGTATTAGAATCAACAAAACCTTTTGAATCGCCCTGGAAATCCAAAGTCAGTTTGCAATTTTCTTGAGTTTTTTCAATATGCTAGGGTCTGTTTCTGCAGCTTTCTTGCACGTTCATGAGTTAGGGTTTACTTGCATATATATAGAGGAATGGAATTAGGTCAAAATCTTGAGCAAGAATCCATTGCAATGATGATTGAATATTTGATTGAAAATTAAATCTTTTTGCATTTTCATGATTGAACAAAGTTGCCAATTTTGGAGATTTTGTATCTTTGACTTGGTGCACGAAATTGCCAGCCTTTTTAGGTCATATTTGCTTCACAAAAAGATTTAAAAACCAAATCTTGTATTTTTCTAACAATTTAAATTAATTAAATGAATTAATATTAATTAAAATCCAATTAATCAATAAAAATAAGAAAATAAATTCAATTAATCTTAATGGGTCGTGCATAGGCCATGGATGAAGTTTCAAGAAGAGATTTAAGGCCCATTAGCAAAAATAAGGTGTTTTGAGCAAAGTTGACTTTTGCAAATCCATAAAAATTTCCCAACTTCTCCAATGCATATCTTGCTCAATTTTGATCATGTGAACATGTTCTTGGACATTTTGGAAAGGTATTTAAGTCCTCTAACCAATGCCTTTGGTCCTATGTCATTTGGATTTACCAATCTCAAGTTGCGGCCTTTGACTTAAAGTGCACTTTTGTTGACTTTTTGAAATTGACCTATAATGTAGAAATTGATAACTTTTTGTGAGAGCATTTCTTGAACTTGGAGTGTGAAGATGGATTGCAGGAAATTGCATCCCCTTCAAAATGAGAATTGGATGGGATTTTTATGATGAACCATGAAAAAGTTATACCCTGGTCAAGATACAGTTGACTTTTCTACTGTCCAAAAATAGTAACTTTTTGCACCTTGATGATTTTTGAGCTATCCTTGTGGAATCATGATCAAGATTTGATCAAATGATGATTGTGTACTCAAAATAAGATGTTGACCAAAAATTCTGACTTTTGACTGCAAAATGATCATTTTGCCCTTGCAGTTGACTCTGGGTCAAATGAGGCTTTTGACTGTGCACATTGACACTGTCAGTTTTGAAACTTGGCATGCAGGTGCTTGAGAATGTATATAGGCATATGAGACTTGATTGAGCCATTAAAAACCCCAAATTCCTTGAAAGAACCAAAACCCTAATTTCAGCTGTCTTAGGAGGTGGTTTGACTGTACAGTCTCTTGAGCAATCTTGAGCAATTTGAGGATCATTCTTGACAAACCTTGAAGAATATGGGAGGGCAAATTTTGGGGTACAACAGTTGCCCCTGTTCAATCTTCTTAAACCTGAGGATGTAGATTGGCTTGTGTGCCTTTCGTGATCCGAAGGTGGAAGATGATTGAACACTAAAGTGCCCAGAAATTTGCACTCGCATAGTGTAGTATCAGCAATGTGATGTCGGGAATGGGCTTACAGATGCCATTTGGAGATATGATGGATAGGAGGATGGGCTTATAGATGCCATTTGGATATGTGACGGAATCTTGTCGGGGGATGGGCTTATGGATGCCATCTGGAGATTGTTTGTTGAATTGTAACTTGGTAGGTTGAAAGAAGGAACCTGTGTAGGGTTGCCTGATGATGAGTCCGTGTAAAACTGCATCTTGGAAGAGAAGGAACCGGTGTAGGGTTGCTTCATGATGATCAAGTAGATAGTTGTCCTGTCTGGTTTCAGGTATTAATCTACAATCAGTCGTCCACAGATATTTCCTGGCTTGGTACAGGTATTAATCTGGAATTTAAGAAGGTTGGCCGATGAGATAATTTTCCTGTCTGGTTTCAGGTATTAATCTCTGACT